TAGCACAGCTGAAAATAGTAGATAAAAAATGAATTGAGGCAAGTGGTAAATATGAGTTGGGAATGGGATATTCAAAATACTTGAAAATGGGGGATGTGTATAATAAACAGATATGTGTCCCCCTTGAATTAATTTAACAACAAAAGAATCCACTGTGCAGATGTATTATGTCTTTAATGACACAAATAGCATAGGCATGTCCCTGCACTCTGCCCTCTTCAGAGACCAACATGAAACGAGGGTGAAGAATCTCTTGATTATGCACAACTCATCAACATTCTCAAGTGGGCTCTAATTATATATTGTTAGCATAATTTATCAGTTGCTGCTGCTCCTCAATAAACATGTCCAGGGTGAATGCAAAATTGTTTTGAAACAAATGTGCAGCTACATTATACACATTATTATGTACAAAATACATTAGAATATTACTAATGTAAATTATGTATTTTGTTATGTGTATTATTTGAGTATATTTTCAAAATACAACCTTATATAACCAAATGTAAGTTTTTGCTATATAAATAAAATCTATCTATCTATCTATCTATCTATCTATCTATCTATATCATCTGTCTGTCTGTCTGTCTGTCTGTCTATCTATCTATCTATCTATCTATCTATCTATCTATCTATCTATCTATCTATCTATCTATCTATCTATCTATCTATCTATCTGTCTGTCTGTCTGTCTGTCTGTCTGTCTGTCTGTCTGTCTGAGAGTGTAGTGTTGTAGTGTTTGTATTGCAGGCTGCAGTGAATCTGTGAGTTCTCTTTCCTTGGTACAGAGTGTCAAGGTCGATTGGGCTCATTGTATAAGGTCTAATTGTAAAGATTATTGAGCAGAGCAATCTGAGATGTATCTGAAGCATTGTTTTTGTATGAAACCTAATTTCAGTTTGAGCACTGAATGGTGCATCAAATTCCCACTGTCTAATATGTAAGTTTGCATTTTTTACAGGCATTATTTTACATACTTGGTACACAAGCACATATTGACTGAGGATGAGCCCTGTCTGTCCTAAGATGTATCCCGTGTTTAGGTTAGGGCTAGAGGAAGTAATATTTCCTCTGAGATAAGAAGACTAAGCAGGGAACAGTGATCAGGGTATGGGGAGTCGCAGCTCTGTCAGGTGTCAGATGCCCTCATGTTATACACCACTGCAAATATGCACACCACTTTTACCATGCAAGAGGTCACAGAGTGCTTGACAGGGATTAGACCCCTGAAAAGAGATATTATTTTACAGTTGACTTTATACAATTCCCATCAGTACATATGATATTTCTCAGTCAACATTATGATTCAGATGATGAATGTTAGTTACCAATAGCAAATGAGAAAAGTACTTTAAAACACATAACAAGAAGTCATTCACGTTATGTAATGTGACATATTTCACTAGTTGTCTATCATGTCTTCATAAATGAGGCTTTAGTGTCCAACGGCTTACTAGGAGAATTGTTTTTGGAACGTGAAGAGTGAGATTCCATTGAGAACAACTAATGCCATTTCCTCATCCTCCCTTAACTTTAAAAGAGCAAACAGAAGAATAAGTAGTTTATTTCAGATTTTTAAAGCCACATGTAAATTTGTATTTTTTCCCTTGATACCTTTCTGCTGTAATGCCTCATTGAAACCCATCTGCTCGGAATTTTTTTTTTTGTGTGACACATTTGTTATTATGGCCGTGGGCTAAAAAAAACTTAAAACTCACTGACCATTGACTGACAGCCTCATGCAGGGTGTCACGCCTCCACGGATGACATTAGTTAATGTCAGGGCTGGCAAGATTAGCCTTTTGCATGAAATTATATGTGAGTCACGCTTTGTAAGGATTATGTTCAGATGAAAGTAAATTGCCTCAGGTTATTGGCCAGGTATGAACAAAGGTAAAGCAAAAATAGAAGCAAAACCTGTACTTATTTTTTCCTATTTTTTTACCTAAAGGTAAAGAAAAAAAAAAATAGGGGTATAACCCAAAGTATTTGGTTGTCTATAAAATTGCTTTAGAAATGCAATCATATTGAAATGTGCACATAATAATCTGGTCCCTGGACCTCATTACCATTTAAGAGATTCAATAATGGTAAGGATGAAAAAAATTAGCATTGTGTTTTTTCTTCATCAGATCTCATGTAAATATTCTGCTAATCATGCCTATATTTTGACACATTATATTTGAATGGTTGACATTTTTTTGCCTTACTTCATGAGTCCAATATATGTTAACAAAAGATGTTGTTTAACCTCAAACTAAGACAAAAATTGGAGGGCATATCGAAAATATATTATGAAGAGCATTTGTAAAAAAAGATAGTAACTTCTGTGTAACTTGATGTCTAGAGGCAATAAATCTGTGTGATTTTCCTATCAATAATTTCTCACCTTTGGGAAATCTACTTATATCACATTTAATTTCCTGTGCTTGCTTTACAGTAAAATTGTAAGCCTATCGCTATGGAAACAAGCTTCGGTAATAAGGTCATGCATCAAATAAAAATTGAGTGCAGCAATTCAAAAGGCAAATGGATCCCATTGATTTATAACCTGTCAGCAAGTACAAATGTTGCTATTTGATGCCCTGTTTTTGTTTGTTCTGCATGGCTGAATGATGCTGTCACTTTAACATATGGTTTTGTCAGAATCACAACAAGGGATTCATTATTTTCTGATATTAGTCGCAGCTGCCTTTTAGGAGGAAATGAGCAACTTACAATTGTGAAGCCATTAAAGTGGGTCAAGGCCATAACTGGAGATAAAAGGAAATCAATGCATTGGCCATAGGTTTATATGTGAGGCCTCAAATGAATAGCCATGAAATATGGATGAGGGAAGCTACCAAAACACGCCTACCAGCACCAGCATCTCTGTCCGGCAGTCCAGCACTCCCCCTTCCCCCATCGTCTCCACCACAAATCGGTTATTACCCACCCCTTCTTTCTTTTTCTTTCTCTCCCGCCAGTCTCCCCGAGTGCTTAAGTAATCGTTGCGTTTATTAACAGCGTGCCTAGTGATACGGCAATAGCCAGGTGAGAGGGTGTTGGGTGGCGTAAGAAAACCAGAGCCTGTTAGGCCACACTGCCTGTCTGCGTCACTTCATGTGCTCACAAAAGCCTTCAGCCTGCCTCTTAATACAAATCAGGATCAGATATATTTAAAAGTGATGGAGGAGCTCAGTACTGCCCATTTGTATGACTCCTTTACTTGACACACACAATTCAGGTCTCTCAGCCTTTATTAATGAGCTGATGATATAAATCAGGTGTGATAAATAAGAGAGACATGCAAAATGTGAAGTGTTGAGGTATTATCCAGGACCAGCTGGTCTAGCTGGTCTGTCAGCCTGGCCAAGCTGGTGTTCAGCTGGTCGGCAAGTCCTAGTTTACTAGCTGAAAGGTGCCCAAAACCCTTCTAAAACCAGCCCACAAACCAGCTTAGACTAGTTTAAGATGTTTTTAGGTTTGATTTTAAAAGTAATAGTTTGCCCAAAAACGAACACTTCCCAGATGTAGATGAGCTTTTCTTCATCAGAACAGATTTGGAGAAATAGCATTACTTGTTCACCAATGGATTCTCTGGAGTGAATGGGTGCCGTCAGAATGAGCGCTGATAAAAACATCACAATAATCCACGAGTAATCCACACGACTCCAGTCCATCATTTGACATCTTTTGAAGGGAGAGGTTTGTAAGAAACAAATCAATTATTAAGCATTTAAACCGTTCCTTCTGGCCATAATCCATAATAGTGCTTCCTCTTGTGATAAACAGTGTTGCCAGTTTAGCTTTGTAGCTAGATTTAGCGACTTCCCCGCCCCTTTTGAGACTTTTTTCTAAAGTTTAGGGACAAATAGCAACTTCTTGGACAAACCTAAGTTCTCATCTTGCCCACTGATCTACATTCATCTTTATATAGATCAGTGAATTTGCCATTATGATGTCATCTAGGGACATTTAGCTACCAGTTTTAGCTACTTTCAGTTGAAAGCAGTTGGCAACACTCTCATTCTGATGGCACCCGTACACTGCAGAGGATCCTTTGGTGAGCTGGTAAAGTAATGCTAAATTTCTCCAAATTTGTTTATACGAAGAAACAATCTTATCGATGTCTTGGATGACCTGAGGCTGAGGGTCAGCAAATTTTCATTTTTGGGTGAGCTATTCCTTTAAGATGTTTTATTCTTTTTTCTTTCCAGGATTGAGGATTGAGAACCACTGCCTTAGGTACCAAGGTAGAGCTTTACCGTTGTTTTCTGTAAATGATTTAAAGATAAAGGTTTTTCGACGTTTGTCTGGGGTCTCTCTTTTCAGGTTAATGCACATGTACAGTAGAGGGCGCTCTCACCTGCGTCAAATCACACTAGCAGGCAGAGCACGCATCAGGACATTGAACAGCAGCGAGGATACACGGGTTTCCTGAGGCTCGGACTACTTTACGTGGTTTTGTGCTTTTCACATAATATTTTAAATTGTGAATTTCAATAACATTTTAAAGCACTTCATTGACTTGACTGTTTTACATATTATATTGCCAAAGCATAAGTACACACAATAATAGGCTACTAAAGAAATAATAATAAAGTGCCTGTAATGTTAATGAAAATTATAATCACAATATAAAAGAAATTAGAATCAAACATTAAGTTAACTTTGTCAAGTTTAAATGTTAGAATACACCACAGTGTTTAAAACGAATATGGTTGGATACATGCTTGAGTGCTTAAAATGCTAAATCTGTTACATTTGCTGTGTGATTGTCGCTGAATGTATTTAGTAATCATTCAAATAATAATATACAAATTCTGTTACAAAAATGGCAGAATTCTTGATGGAAAAGGACCATGCGTTTTATTGCTCGTTGAGAAACAGAGGAATAGACAGCGTAAGTTTTGACAATGCTCCGCCCTCGAGTGGCGGTTGGCCAAACGAATCAGCAGGAGGCTTTGTGATTGGTTCAAGCAGCTGTCAATCACGCGAGATCTCTTCAGGCGTGTGGTAGCTGTGAGCACATCATTTCGCCGTGAAGCGATCAGACCGAGGGAGAGATCAGCCCAGACATCAACACGCAAACACACCACGCTTGTGAATTTTTGCATGTCAGGAGCGGAGGATCCTGTCGCCGGTCAACGGCCGTTTTCCATCTTGTATTCATAACGCATACATCAGCGGCATGTGGAATTGTATCAGGATTAGGAATTGGCTCCCAATCGCGTGCCTGCTGTTAACGATATGGACGAAGGTGAGAGCGCTGATTGTTTCTAGTATTGCAGATCGATTTGATTGCCATAGCTGTGATCAGCAAGCAAAAGTTGATGGGTGTGGGCTGACGATTTTAAATGAATTTTGCTCAAAGTAATCGATATTTCAATTGCGCAGCCACATGTGCTCATGCATTTGGAAATGTCAGGAGATTGTAATAAGTGTTAACTTGCACCCCGTCATTTAAAATCGCTGTTCCCAGCCTCTGTACAGCTTAGCAAAATTGTAGACTGATTCTCTGGAGACTTCAATGCACAAGCGCACGCAACACATTCCCTCAAATAATGTTAGGCTAATTCAGTTTTGCAAACCCGATCTGCATTTCAATAATAAGCAACCAGTATTATGACTGACGTTACTCTGTTTATCTTATTTTTTATTCTAATCTTATTTTTTAGGTGTCCCAGTCCTCTGGCTATTTTGAGCTGCAGCTGATTGCTGTAGAAAATGTAAACGGGGAGTTGTGGGACGGGGAATGTTGCGACGGCACGCGGAACTCTCAAGACCAGCGCTGCGTACGGGACGAGTGCGATACTTACTTTAAAGTGTGTCTGAAGGAGTACCAGTCTGAAGTCACCACCACTGGGCCGTGCACCTTTGGCTCTGGATCTACTGACGTTCTCGGTGGAAATATATTTTCTTTTAAGACTGCAAAGAACAACCCCAGCAAAACGAGCGGTGTGGGAAAGATCACCATCCCCTTTCACTTCGCCTGGCCGGTAAGTGCGCGTCTCTGCTTGGGCTATAATGATAATGCGCCGCGGTGAGCTGTCACTGCTCGGAAGTTGAGTGCACTATATTGTTACTGTGATGACAGGGTCTCTTTTTTTTAATCGTGGGCGTGTAAGGCTGCCGTGTCCTAACGATTTTTGTGTAGAAAAAGGTTATAATGGTTAAGAACGGTTATCTTTAGTGCATTCACTTTGCTAGCGCCGCGGTGAGCTGTCACTGCTCGGAAGTTGAGTGCACTATATTGTTACTGTGATGACAGGGTCTCTTTTTTTCTAATCGTGGGCGTGTAAGGCTGCCGTGTCCTAACGATTTTTGTGTAGAAAAAGGTTATAATGGTTAAGAACGGTTATCTTTAGTGCATTCACTTTGCTGTGCGTGTTTGAAACTGGCTGCTATAAGTTGCATTTAAGGTGACACACATTTCTTAAAGAGATAGTTCACTCATAAATCCAATAATAATCTAAAATAAGACTTGTACTCGCCCTCATCATGTTGTTTCAAACCTGTATGACTTACTCGCTTTCCTTGGAGCACAAACGGAGATTGAACGGAATGACAGTCACTTGCATTGTAAGTGAATGGGGACTGTCATTCTGCTAACGGAAGAAAGTCAGGTTTGAAACCATACCGTAGCTGGTTGTGTCTCATTTTTGGGCACCACAGGCGCGAGAATAACGCTGACTAGGTAGGCATCTTACTAGGTTCTGACTTCTCCGTTGATTTCAGTTGGCTTCGAGTGAAGCGAATCTTTCTCGAAGCTTCTAGTGTACTTGATATTCAAATATGACCCGCAATCGGCAGCTGTATTTCCCGTAATTGTGGTATTACTGGTTTTTGTGAATTTGTTAAAATGCTCTTTTGTAGCTTATAATGTTTACAAAAATGTAGCACGGCAACCAAAGTTTCAGCTAAAACTCCATAGTTACTGCTCTTATTGTTAGGGGAAACTTGGAGTGTTGTAGCCTAACGCGTTTCAACGTGGTTTCCTATCAAACTTTGATATTTCCAAATTATTATTATTATTTTGCTTCAAATTAGTTGAAACATTTATTAAAATAATCACAGATCTAGATGTGAAATTATACTTTTTTAAAAACTTAATTAAAAACAGTTTTAATCGGTAAAACTGACAGCGCTAATAAATAATTTGAGAAATTTACCTTCAGACAATGTGAGAAGCTTCTAGATTTTTGATCAGTTTATATATTTTGTCATTAGTGGCTAATATTGCATTTTTATATTAGTTAGTACACAATAACTAATAACTCTGGGATTTTAGTGGAAATATAGTTACCATGGCAATTTGTTGTAAGGGTAGCCTTGTACTACTTGCATCTCCCTTGTGTTGATGTGTGAAAAACTTATCAAGTGTCTCTCCAGACACGCAGGCACATTACTGATGCTGATATCAGGTAGCAAATCACTGCAATGTTTTATGCAGTTCGGTGTCACACCCGCAAACAACAACAGCAACAACAACAAAAAAGAGATGTCATGTAGTATTGACTGTCAGCTTTGGATGGCAGCCCAGTTAGGCACACACTCACCTGGCAGACCCCTAAACTAACCCTCCCGTAGGCATAAAAAACTAACCCCCACCCAACACACAAACACTCAACCGTTTAAGTTAATGTGTAACATGCTATCAAACTGACCCTTTCGGGGCCGCCTTTGATGCTACACCTGCTTCTCTTTTGACCACCGCTTGAAATTTCACTTAGATATGTGCCTGTATAACTCGGATCACATGATGTGTGGTTGTAGATCTGTGTCTGAAAGCCTGTGATTGAGTTTGAATTTCAAATGCTGTGTGTTTGCAGTTTCTTAGTGTCTCATGGATGCTAATGAAATTGCCAGAGGAATGTGTTCTTGAGTGCCTGTGAATCTGGACATCTGTTTGATGTGCTCGGTGTAACCTCATCTAGAGTGCATTGTATAAAGATATCTAGCACCTCACCCAGAGGCTTGGAGATTTAGTCCACCACCTGTCGGAGGTGCAGTTTGTTTTCTTTTAGCCTATCTCTGGTTTGTTTGTCAAGATTTCAGAGATTGGTTTTGGTAAAGCCGTTGTCTTGATAGTTTGCTTATTAGTATCAATACAGATTTCCCGATTTGATTTGATAAAAGCTTTGAATTTAATTTGATTCCTTTTGCTACTGCATGTGGAATTCCAGTACATTTTAAATGCCATTTCTTGTGATTGTAACAGTGTTTTGTTATAACAATGTGGGAACATATATGCTTTTAATATTTTCAGTCTTTATTCTTGTGTAAAATTATTATAAAATTACACTTAGACTTCTCTGAAAGAGTAAAATTAGTCTTTTCGAATGATTCATTACAACGATCCACTCAAAAGAGTCATTTGTTTATGAATTTGACTACACTAGTTGCATTTTTTGTTTTGATTCACTAAAAAGAACTAGTTCATGAGAGTCATTTGTTTGTGAATCAGACAACACTGTTCACGCTGTGTGCATTATTGCATGCAACCTGTGAGGAACGTGTGTTTGCTATTATTTTGTTGTTTTTTATCATATCAAATAAAATTTGGACTGCAAACTAGAGTAAAATGTGGCACTTTTTTTGTAGTAGTGGGAATGCAGGAAACACTTGCATGGAGTTAAAGATTGATTTTTTTTTTTTTAAATTAAGAAATTCATTTCAAGATTGAAATGCACTTATGTGCTACCTAGATCCACTTAGGTGATTTTATCAGTTAGTGTGTATTCACACTAGGAAAGTCCGCTAGTTCACTTGCTTTGATCCGGACCAAATACAATGTTGATTTTTTTTTTTTTGTAATTTGGTGTGGTTCGCTTTCACACTGCCCTTTTTGCAAGTGAACCAGAAATTGTAAACAAAACCACACGTGTGCTAAGGTCATCCATTCATTGGTTCATCCATTCAACCGTACCAGAGTTTGTTTGGAACCGGACCGAGACCACCTCTTCAGTTGGGTCGCAGTACAGTTGTTTGGTCCACACCCGAGTGCAATTGCTGTATTCACACCTGCCCAAAAGATCCGCACCAAGGGGGGAAACAAACTTGAGTCTGATTCAATCAAACCTAACAAGATAGGTGTGAATACACCCTTCGTCTTATTGTTTCGTCTTTTTTAATGCAGACTTTGAGCCAGTAGGTTAGTAAGATCCTCATCTGTTAGTTCTAGTCCCTTGCAGTTGTGTAACATAGAGATGAGTTACAGTTTTAGTGGATGTGCAACTCCAGTGTAAGAGATTGAGAGACGGTAAAGAGCCTCTCTGGTGGCACAGTGAATGTTAATGATAGAGACGGCAGCTGTATCTGTCCGTCAGAGTGGAGGACCACTACGCTTCAAGGCTAAACGGCAGCGTCAGCCACACCTGATTGGGAGCTTGCTGGGCAGTTGCTAGGAGACCGTTACATGGGCCTTTAGTAAACAATTATCTATTGCCCTCCGAGTTCCCTTCCCCCTTAACTGGTCTTTCAGCGGAGCCACTCGTTCTCGTCTCACCTGGGAAAGAAGTGCTAGAGCCTCACAACTGATTACACTATTGACTGTGTAATTAGCCAGTCACAGCTGGCTCTGTCTCCGGTCAACAAAAGGCAGTAATTGTCCAGTTCAGCATCAGAGCAGGTGGCTGTTGATTGGGACTCATTATAGATCGCTGCTCCCCCAAGGCCTCAAAATTTCCAAGTAAGCAGTGTCCATCTTTTGTTTTTGTTTTTGTCTTTTATGGGGGTTGACTGGAAGTCACGGTAAAGTCGTGGGTGGGACGGTGTCACATTTTCACATGCTGCCTTTTAAGAATTGAACCAAATTCATTCATTCACTCATTTTAAAAGTTACTATTGTAAAACTTGACACAGCATCTTAAAAAACAATGTTTGCGGTGGGACTCTTTAAAAAAAAAACAGAGTGATAAGCTATGCAATAGCCAAAGACATGCGTCTGTTTCTGTATGAATGTTGAAGTGCCACTTTAAAACGTTAAATTTAGACATACATCTTTTACAAGAGACTTTTATAGTTACAAACTATCTAGCTAGCTATTAGCATGTTAATTAACGCATTGCTTTTAAAAATCTAGAAAGTATGGCAATATATTTTACAATAAGGTTCTGTATGATAACTTAGTTCGATCGCTAACATGAACAATTAACAAAACATTAATCTGTTCGAATTAATACATTTTCTATAAATGTATATATATTTGTAACGTTTCTTAAAAAGTATATTTATAAATTAATATTAACCTAGATTAATAAATGCTGTTAAAACGGTTTTAATTTGTGATTTCTAATGCATTAAAGGCAGAGTAAGTGATTTTTGGTAGCCAATGTTGATATTTGAAATCACCAAAACAAACACGCCCCTACCCCAAAAGGGTCTTGCCTCTGTTCTGATAGCTCCGCCCCACATATACGTACGCAACCCAGACAACGATTAGTTCTGTGAAACAAAGCAAAACCAATGTTACACCGTGTCTACAAACGTGAGCGGCGCGGCGCAACAAATCCCGACAGAAAACTGCTGCCGGGTTCTATTTATGACGTGCTGACACACATTTCAAATGGTTTTCAACGGTCGTTTGATCGAGTCCAGTGTAGGCAGACTTTGGCTGTTGTAGACACGGTGTACTCACCTATTGAGAAAAAACAAAGCAACCTCGGCGTCCGATCGCAGGCCTCCGCTCCTTGAGTTCTCTCCAGCGCTGGAAAACTGATCCGATATTTACACGGGTCCTACTTCTTGCCTTATCGTTCTGCAGACGTTTTCCTCTTTTGTTTTTATCCACCATCTCTAACTTTCTGTTGCTCGGCTCGGCTAATGTCCGTCCCATGCACTGAACGCGCTCTCCTCCACATCACGAGTAGACATGCCCCTTATTGCTGATTGGCTACAAGTTTGTTTTGCGATTCGGCCCGAATCAGTTTTCTAAAGTGTTTTTGCAAAATCACACACCCTGCCTTTAACCATATTGTGAAGTGTTACCAAAAACACT